TCACCAGATAGTGTAGCCACCGTCTGAGCCTCCCAGGAAGAAGTTTCCCTTCCGTTGCGTCACCAAGACGTTGGCTCCCTGCATGACGGCCAGCTGGGCGGCGTTGGGGGGGCAGCCTGGAGGGGGGGGCTGCAAGGCAGAGAAAGGAGAGGGGCACAACTGAGGTCAGTGCCACGATGGGAGCGGGCACGAAGCCACCGTGGGCTGGCAGGAACCCTGAAACCTCCCAGCCGATGTCACCTGCCACCGAGCAGAGGCCGAGTGACAGAGCCCGGCGGCTGGTGGCGAGCACTCGCCTCCCCCCCAGGCCCACGTCCTCTCTCTGGAGCCCGCAGCCCGTACGGCCGGCCCTGGCAGTTTGCCTGCACAGAGGAGCCTGCGAGTTGGGGAACAAGATCTTCACGTGGCCACGAGCCACGGGTGGAAAGTCTGGGGGAGCAGGAACCTCCCATAGCTCCACAATAGCTTGGAAAAAGGTCAAGTCTGCACTTGGGGCCAGGAAAAGTCAGTTCGCTCAGCAGCCCCCCTTGCCTCCCCCCACACCCCCAGGCCCAAGCAGGGCCGGCACTTGCCACACAGCAGTTTTGCTGTGAGCCAGAACCACCAACCAGACTGCGTGGCTCCAGAGCCACGGGTTGGTCTGAGACAGAAAACCCTCAGCATGAAAGCAGGAGCCCACTCTTCTCCCAGATAATGGATTGGGTGAGAAGGAAGTTTTTCTCAGAAAGCAAAGGACATCTTCCCCCCTACAACTGTCTACAAACCTCTAACACTGAAGCACGCAGGGGTCTGAGGGTACATTTATACTTACAGGGATGCTGGCTGTTCCACCAGCCCCAAACCTTGCTCCAGCATCAAAGCCACCTTCAACAAGGACTGTGGAGCCCGGAGGATAAACCGGTCCCACGGGGTAATAGGCCATCGGGACCGACGAGCTGAGAGGCCCCACAGCCACAGACTGGGCCATGGGCAGGAAGACGGAAGCGCCCGGATACGCTGCAGACATCGTAGGTACGGTGGCAGCTCCCAGAGGCACGAAGCTGGGACGGTAAAGCTGGGAGAAAAAAGCCGTGCAAGCAAGTTTAGAGATTTGTTATTCCCCACAGCCTGTTGTTTATCCCAGAATCATTCAGGTTGGAAAAGCCCCTCGGGATCATCGAGTCCAACCCTCAGCCTGACTCTACAAAGTTCTCCTCTACCCCACATCCCCCACAGCTCATCCCAACGGCCCTGAAACCCCCCCAGGGATGGGGACTCCCCCCTCCTGCCCAGCCTGACCCTCCCCTGGGGCAGTTTCCAGCCGTTCCCTCTTGTCCTGTCCCTGATCCCCTGGGAGCAGAGCCCAGCCCCAGCCTCTCCACAGCTGCAGAGAGGGATGAGGGCTCCCCTCAGCCTCCTCCTCCTCACACTGAACACCCCCAGCTCCTTCCCTGGCTCCTCACAGGATTTATTCTCCAGCTCTTCCCCAGCCTCGTTGCCCTCCTCTGCCCTCGCTCCAGCCCCTCCAGATCTCTCTGGGATTGAGGTGCCCAAACCTGGACCCGACCCTCCAGATGTGGCTTCACCAGTGCAGAGCACCGGGGGACTGTCACCTCCCTGCTCCTGCTGGCCACACTAGTGCTGACACAAGCCAGGATGCCGTTGGCTTTCTTGGCCCCCGGGCACACTGCTGGCTCCTGTTCAGCCGCTGTTCAGCCTTGCTGTCAAAGCCTGAGCCCCCACGTAGAGTTTTAACCCCCTGCTCACACAAGGCCACCCCCTTCCCTGAACATTTACTTTGGGGTATGGCAAAAAGACATTTTTCCCACTGCTGGAGACAGTTTTCCCCCCGTGCCTGAAAAGAATCCAACTAACAGATCATCACAGATGTGTTTTACAGGTGAGCTACATTTGTCATCTTAACTCAAGGGAAGCTTTGACCTTTTGTTACTTGGAGCGGATGATTCAGATCTCATAAAAGAGAACCTGGGGACCGACCGCTGCCCGGTGATGTGAGCAGCAAACGAGTCCTCCAGGCAAAAAAAAAAAAAAAATAATTGCAGCTATAAAGTTATTCAGAGATTTCGAGCAGGGAGGGGTCCCAGAAGAAAATGAAGGTTTGGGAGAAGCGTCCCACCTACCTCGGAATAAGCAGGAGGTGCATCGGTGTAGGGCGGCGGCTGCGGGAGGGGCACAGTCTGTGGGTACACGGGGGGGTTGGCGGGGGCCTGCACGGGGTAGGACGGCGGGGTGGGGTATTGGCCTG